CAGTTCAATGCATACATGCACCATCTTCTGCACGAAAAAATGGCCCTCAGGTCGCTTTTAAATTTCTGCCCCTCACTTTAGTTTTACGCCCTCCAGTTTTGGACTCGCCCACCGTGTGATAAAGACCTTGACTACTCACCCTGTCGATATCCCTCATGATTTTATAAAATTCTGTCAGGTCGTCTCTCAGCCTCCAACGCTCCAGGGAAAACTGCCCCAGCCTATTCACCCTCGCCGTACAGTCCGAAACCTGCAACCTCGGCAACGTCCACGTGAATATTTTCTTGGCAGGTTTACATGATATCTTTTATTTTTCAATAATGCCAATAACGCAGGACGACATCGATCTATTTGAAACAGAGATGTAAGTAAATAGCTGTGTTCTTTAAGATAGAAATGATGATGACAGTTGGTGTCGTGTGGAGAATGAACCGATGTTAATGAGCCGTACATTTTGGTGCAGCCAATTTCAAAATCCAAAATGAGACACGGTTGGTAATTGTGGAGCAGAGAGAAATCTCCAAGAGCTGTGTTTGAATTCTGGCACAACAAACGCAGATACGTGAAACAGCAAGGGTTTGAAGGGAAAAATCATCACGTCGGAGAATATTTTCGTAAAAATGTTTGATATTTTGCCACATTTCTGTAGCACGTGACAAAGGAAAAAAGATACAATCGGTGAGCGTGCAGTCCTTCTATGATGGTGTAGAGGTGCGTGAAATGCCGAGGCTGTGGGCTCTTACCTCACCCGGAGCAGCTTTTATTGACGTGGAGCAGAGATTATTGGGGCATCAGGCTGTACAGAGAAATGTTAGTCAGCATGCAATTTGTTAAAAAAGACTAGCTTCTTTTGTTGGATCATGATCTGTCCCGGGAAAATGTCTCAATTATCAATCAAATTCGAGATTACTCCTCTGTCAACCGACAGATTGCCCCCGTCTGTTAAATTCATTGTTTGTATGTTTGTCTGTGTGTCTTTTCAAGCAGAATTCCTATTCCGTATCCACGACCTTTTCATCATAACCTGGCAAATTTTCATGTGCTTGTCGCCATAGAGAAAGGATTTTGTGATTTTGAAAGGCAGAAGGGTGCGAACAGGATGATAAAGACAGAATGGCGAATGATAGCCTTCAGATGAATTTAAATGTCAATGCACATGATCCGGGGAATGTTACCATCCACAGACAAACAAAAATTAGGAATATAACAAAAACAGAAATTTCTGGAGAAACTCTAAGTCTGGCAGCATCTATGGAGCGAAAGCAGAGTTCATGTTTCTGGTTCAGAGACACTTCTTCAGAATTTTTTAAAATGAGGAATGTAACTGCTGGATTAGCCTTTACCGAAAGTTCAGAAAAATCATGAGTCTGTCCATCTGAATGAATTGCTGGACTGCTCAACCCTTTCGTCTGACATCGTGTGTCTGTTCATGATACGTTGCTGTTTGTGTTTGTGTGTGTGTGTGTCTGTTTCTGTCTGTCACATTCTGGTTGGCGTGACACATTGGAATTGTACAAGCAGGAAGGCGTGCCACCGAGTGTGCTCCTATTCAAAAGCAAGAAGGAAGTTACAGTCTATTTTAGTTGTGGGTTGCATGATAGATAATAGCATAGTGGCACAGCGGGAATATGCTGGGCCCATGACCCAGAGGTCATGGATTGAAACCATCCCTGCTATTTACACAACAAACTGATGTTTGTTGCCTGAGTAGTAGTGTTTAAGCCAGCTTTGCTCACATTGTCTCTGCATCAGCTTCTTGCTCCCAGTCAACAATTCGATCTGCAGTAAACCGCATTTATTCCGGCATGGACACACACTGTAAATGTTACAAACACACGCCAGCTGATACTTTCCTTTTCACTCAATCCTTTCTTAAATGGAACTAACACTGGCATGATGGTCCGAATGGCCTTCTCCTGTTCTCTGTCACTCTGGGATGATCTGAACAGTGACAGTTATTCTCTACAATGAAGCAATACAGCGGGGAGATAGCAGTGTAGTGATGATGTATCTCCTAGTAATCCCGAGGGACTGACCATGTCAGCTGCTGGAGTTTACACTCAATGAACAAAATCTGGAATATAAATCTGATTTCACAAACAAAACCATGACTTTACTTTCCTGAAATCCCAATCATTCATGTCCCCTTGGGAGGGAGGTCCTTACCTGGTCTGGCATACAAGTGACTCCAAGTCCACAACAACATGGTTGACCCCAAACTGTCCTCTGACATCAGTTCAAGGTGAATTCGGGATGAACAACAAATGCTGTCCTGACCAGTTCTCCCCACATCCCGTGGGAGAACAAGAAAGAATGAAAACACATTCACAGCTGGGAAGAACAGGCCTTGGTCCTGCGTGGACTTGAATTCACCTGATTGCCCAACCTGGATAGACACAAGGACACCCACACCACAGAGAAACCAGGGAAACGTGGGAACTGAGGGAAGGATTCAGTTACACACTGAGGTGGAAACCCATTTACTCAGTGACACTGGGGAGATGCCGATCAGGAATGCCATGTGTGGGAACAGATAACTCAGAAAAACAACCTCCGGACACATCAGCAAATTCACATATGACAGTAGGGGTTAGATTTTGCTGTTAGTCCCAACCAGGAATGAACCATGTCTGGATGACTTTCCAGTGGAGTTCTGAGGGTCACTCGACTTGAAATATTATCTTTGATTTCTTTCCACAGATACTGCCAATTCTGTTGAGTTTTTCCAGCAATTTCTGCTTTTTATTTGTTTCTGATTTTTCCAGTGGAGTTCCATTGTTGTTTGATGTTGATCAAGGATTAAAACCGAGTTGTATGGGTCATAATTTAGAAGTTTGCAGACGACATGCAACAATGCGTGATGTAGTTAACCATGAGGAACAAAGCCTGGGACTGCAGGGAGATATCAATCAGGTGGAAAGAAAAAATGATGAACGGAATTCAATCCAAAGAGATTCATAATGAATTCAGTGAGAGTGAACAATGGAAGTGGGGATGCTGAGTGATGTAGAGGAACAAAGACACCTTGGAGTGGACATTCACAGATTCCTGAATGTGGTTGGACAGGACGATCACGTGGTCAAGAGGGTTCTGGGATACTTTCTGTTCTCGACCACAGGCTGGAATATAAGATCAGGAAGTTGATGCTAGAGCTTTAGCTAACACCAGTTCAGAGAACAGCTGGAAGATTGAGCACAAGTCTGGTCGTTGCGTTAGTCAACTTTGTCAAAAAAAAATCATGATAGAAGATCCAGGGCAGAAACAGGCTTTATGGCCCATCAAGTTCACTGCACCACTCAATGAGATCATTATTGATACTGCTCCAAGTCAGGATGGTATGAATCCTGGAGGAGAACTTACAGATGGTGTTGTCTTGATGCATTCTCTGCTCTTGTCCTTCAGCGTGGTAAGAGTTTGCAGGCTTGGAAATTGCTGTCAAAGGAGAGTGGGTGAGTAACTGCAGTGCATTTGGTAGATAGTGCACTCTGCTGCCACTGTAATGAAGGGAGTAAATGCTGAAGGGACTGAATGGGGCACCAGTTAAGTGGACTGCATTGTCTTGGATGGTGTTAGGTTTCTTGGTGTCATTGGAGCTGCATCCATCCAAGCAAATTGACAGTGTTCTTAATGACAGACATTCTTAATGATGCACAGGCTCTGGGGAGTCATGAGTTGAGCTAATCACTATAGAATCTTTTCCCTCTGACCTACGTTTGTCGGCACAATATCTAAATATCACGCCTAGTTCAGTTTCTCATCATTACTAGCACCCCAGGATGATGATAGTGGGAAATTCAGTGAAGATAAAACCATTGAATGTCAATGAATTATGGTTAGCTTTTCATTTCTCAGATTTGGTCATTAGTTGTTGGGACTTGGTGCAAATGTTCTTTGTCACGTAGCAGGCTAACTTCAATGTTGTCCAGGGACACTGCATTTAAATATCTACCACTACAGTCGCTGAGTCACAAATGGTGCTAAACATTGTGCAATCATTGACAAACATATCCACTTCTGACCTTATGACGCAGGGAAGGACATTGATGAAACAGCTGAAGATGCTTGGGATCAGAAACTGATGCTGAGGAATTTCTGAAGCTGAGATAGCTGGCCTCTAACAATCACAAGCACCTTCCTCTGTATTCAGTATTATCCGACTGGGGTGAAGTCGGGCAAGGAGGATAGGAGAGTGTACAAGGGGAATATAAAAGAAAAGGAGTGGAGAATTAAAACACAGAACAAGTGGGAGGTAAGCTTGGACGAACAGTACAGCATAAGGCTAAGAGTCAAATACAACCATGTAATGACAGTTATTTTGTCTCAGGTCGTTTAAATGCATATCTGTAACAGTGATCCGTCAGCAGTTACTAGCTAAAAATACTCACTTAAGTATTACTCACAAGGAAATGCTTGCATGCTGTGAGCTGATGGTAGGGACAGAGAAACTCTGAAGATAATATGGAAATAGAAGACCTGTTGAAATGAGAGGACTCAGGACTTTGTAAGAAACTGAACAGCATCCTGCTTTTGTAGTAAATGACTGTTATCTAATTTATTTTATGCCGATGTTATATACAACCATCATGACGTGAAAACATCTCAATATGCTGTTTTGAGCTGTAAATGGTAGAGTATCTCCAAGCTAGACTAGGAGACCTCTTCCGCATATATGTGGTACAAGCTTGAATAAATTCACCTTGTTTTGATCTACTCAGGTCTGAAGACGCAAACTTTTCAAAAACCCACAATCAAAGCCAGAATAATATTCTCTGAATCCTGTTGACTGTAGTTTTGCTATGACTCCTTGATACAATGCTCTGTCAAATAGATCCTTAAGATGGCAGGAAAGTCACACTCTCATTTGGAATTCAGCTGTTTGGTCCATGTTTGCACCAAAAATGTAAGGAGATCAGGAGATGAGTGACCCTTGCTTAACTCAAACTGAGATCCATCACTATGATATTGCAAAGCAAGTGCTGCTTGATGTCATTGTTGTCATCCTGTTTTGACTGCATTTCGTATCGACAGGCCAGACGATTGACTGAAGGCTTGTCCACACAGACCACGTGTATGGCTTCTCTTCACTGTGAACGATGCTTTTTTCTTCCACGTTCAAAGCTCTTGAGAATTGAGTGTTACTGGCAGCTGTTGAGCTGCCTGTCTGTATATCCTTTCCAATTCCCTAGAAAATGAATTTAAAACAGTCACAAGTGGAATGAAAGCTTCTGGATTGTTAGAAAAACCCACCTGGATCATAAATGTCCTTGAAAGGACAGAACATGAAAAATACAGGACAAATCAGGCTGCGGGAACTGGCTAATGAGCCAGTCATTATTTCTGCAGGGCCAGCAGAGTGGGAGGTTTGAGTGATACCACAACAACGCTGTCTGTGTAACAATATAAACCGTACAACTGTCTGACTGTAACCTGTGTCAGCCTGTACTTGGATAAATGTAAATGGCCTGAGCTTGCTGAAAAGCATTACTGTAATCAAGTGGGAATTCATGGGCCACCTTCAGACACACGCGGTCCCCCTTTGTACTGGTGAGACTTGCATTTGGAGTACTGTGTTCAGTTCTAGTCACCGTACTTAGAGAAAGTTGTTAATACATTGGAAACATTTCAAAGAAAATTTAATGGACTAATACCTAGAATGAGTCGAGTGCCTAGTGGGGAAAGAGTAGACAGGCTGGGCCTGGATCCTCTGGAGTCTAGAAAAGAAAGAGGAAACTAAATTGAAACATGAAAGATATTGAGGGGATCCGACGACGTGGGTGTTGAAAACATGGTCCCTCTTGTGGGAGAATCTAGAACTGATGGTCATTGTTTATAGGTCAGGGTGAATCCATTTGAAATGGTGAGGAACATTTCTTTTCTCTAAGCGGGTTGTGAATCTTTATAACTCCCTTTGTCAAAAGGCAGTGGTTGAAGAATCGTTAAACTGTTTTTTTAAGGCAGAAGCAGACAGATTCTTGATGACCAAGATGATGAAAGATATTCAGGGATACGGAGACACAGAGTTGAGGTTGAAATCAGATCAGCCGTGATCTTATTGAATCTCAGAGCAGGCTCGAAGGGCCGAGTGGCCTACACTTGTTCCTCATTCATATGCTCGAATGAACCGGAGAACAAAGAAACACAAATCTTGTCTGATTACTGGGGGTCAGGAGTGTGTTTGAGCTCGTACTTCACCTACTCGGTATGTTAGATCCATTCTATCCCAACCCCCAGCTTCAATTAACATCCTTTTAATTTCCAGGGAATACACTATTTTTGGTGAGATGAGGCATTTTGATAGAAGGAGAAGAGAACATATGAAATAAGATCTACAGTTGTCCATTATGCCCCTCGAGCCTCAAAAAGGTCAAAGCTCATCTATTCAGGCATCAATTCCACATTCTCAATTGGCCTTGATAATGTTTTTTTTCCTTTATTCCTGTGGGCATTGCTGGCTAATCCATCTAGTTGCCATTGAGAGGGTGGTAGTGATCTGCTTTCGTGAACTACTGTACTCCATGAGCTGTAAGTGGACCCACAATGCTGTTAGGGAGGGAATTCAGGATTTCGACCCAGCAACAAAGAAGGAATAGTGATATATTTCCAAGTAAGGATGGGAGGGAATTCATGCCCAACATTCAGTCTCAGAGACCTACAGCACAGAAAAAGCCTCGGTTGACTCTGTCTGATTTTGTCACTATCATCTAAATAGTCTGTTATCCCACCATTTATAGTGGACCCGAACATTTTTTCCCCACCAACAATGTTATGCAAATTCCGTGTTTTCTCTCTGACTCCATTCTTAAATACTGGGGTTATGTTAGCTACCCTCCAAACCGTCAGAACAGTTTGCGACTGTATAGTATTTTGGAGTAGAACCACTAGCGCAGCTGCTATTTCTAAGGCCACTTCCTAAGGTACTCTGGAGATTAAAGTTACCAGTCTCTGGGGATTTATCTGCCTGTTATCTCATTAATGTTCCCAATTTCTTACAATTCCACCTTCCAATTAGACCCTGTGATTCCCTTAATTTTGGGACAATATTTGTGTGCCCCTTTTTGAAAATCTAAGGTATATTTAATTGGTCTGCCATCACTTTGCACTCCATTATAAATTCCCTGTTTGATTGTCAGGAGACCCTACATTCTTCTTGACTAATCTTGGATTATCAATCTTCAATTAAGAGTTTAATGACGATCATGAAACCTTTGTTGATTGTCAGGAAAAACCCATCTGGCTCACTAATATCCTTTTGTGGAAAGAAACTGTCATCCTTACCCGGTCTGGCCTATATGTGACTCCACCCCCATTGCAATGCAGTTAACTCTGGGCAATCAGGGATGTGCAATAAATTCTGACCTAGTTAGCAATGTCCACATCCTGTGAATGTCTATTTTAAAAATGCCGTTGGTTTTATGGTCCATGCAAGAGTACTCTCAGATTCTATTTTCTCCCTCTAATTAAATCCCTTTGTCGCCCTTTGCTGAAATCTAAACTGTTGCCAATCGTTAAGTCTGTTCTCTTATTTATCCAATTTGTATGCTGCTTCCTTAAATTTAATACCCATTCATTTCTCTTTCTCTGCCATGGTTTGACCATGTTTCGATTTTATTTTTATGCCACAGCTTGCCACGTCCTCTTTCAATGTTTGTCATTACCCATCTCCCATCATCCATTTAAATTGTAATCCACTATTTATCACAACTGGCTCACGCCTCATAACATTCTAACTTCTTTTATTTAATTACAGGACTCCAGTCTCAAAAACAACGACATTACTCTCCATCCTAATGATGAATTCTATCCTGTTGTGGTCACTCTTCCTTAAGGGCCCATGTTCAACTTGATTGTCAATTATTCCTTTCTCACTGCCCAATACTCATCTGCTTTTTCAACGTAAAATTGTACCATATACACACTAAGAATTTCTCCTCTATCTTATTGCTACTGATGCTATCTGCTCAATTTATGTAGGTTGAAGTCACCTATAATTGCAGCCATAACTTTATGACTTGTATCTCTAAATTCAATTCTAATGCCTTCCCCAAAATTACTGTAGCTTGGGGTCTATATACAACACTAGTATCATTTTCTGTTCATTGGCTTTTCTGAGATCAACCTATAGAGATTCTACTTCACCACACCCTATATCCTGGCTCACATCATATTACTTTCCTGTTTTAGTCAGCAGTTCTAGCCTCATCCTATTCCATTTCACCTGCCCAACCTATCCTCCTTAGACAACCCACTTATTCCAGGTTTCAATCTAGTAAACCTTCTCTGAACCACTTCGAATAAGCGTTCAGACGACCAAAACCTGCACGTGGTATTTGAGATTTGGTCTCTTCCCTTCCTTGTACAAATGAAGCAGAACATCCTTACATTGATGTTTAATTCCTGTGATAATAAAGCATACAGCCTGTTGGCTCTCTGGATTAGACCGAGATCTTGCTCAACTGGGTCAATGGGCTAAAGAGTGGCAGATTGAACTTTATTTGAATAAATGTTTGTTTTTTTTCAAAATGGAATACTTCACATGGGCAGGACTTATACAATTAATAGTAGGGCCCTGGGTACTATTACAGAACAGAGAACCTAGGCTTTCAGGTACATTATTCTTTGAAATTTGTTCCACAGGTGGACAGGGTGGTTAAGAAGGCATTCAGCACACTTGTCTTCATTGCTCAAGTCTTTGAGTACAGGAGTTGGGACGTCATGTTGGAGGTTGTAAAGGATGTTGGTGAGGACTCTCCTGGAATACTGTGTGCCATTCTGGTAGTCCCGTCATTGGAAGGATATTATTAAACGGGAGCGGGTTCAGAAAAAAAAAAAGATATTAGTGGGAAAGAAGGGTTTGAGTTGTAAAAATAGGCCGGATAGGCTGGGACTTCATTCACCAGAAGGTAGGAGGTTGAGGCATAACCTGAAAGAAGTTTATAAAAACATATTTTTTACGGTGAGAGAAGAAAGATTTTAAAAATGACATGAGGGGTAACTTTTCTTTTCTTTTTACATAGAATGTGCTCAGTGTGTGGAATGAACTGCCAGATGAAATGGTAGGTGCACATACAGTTACAGTTACAATGCTTAAAAGAGATTTAGATAAGTACACAAATTCGAAAGGTTTGGTGATGAGGGCCAAATACAGGAAGATGGGACTAGTTTAGTTTGGGAATATGGTCAGGATGGAATAGTTGGACCATTGGGTCCGTTTCCATGCTGTATGACACCATGGTTACATGCGATATCTGCATACTAACTCATACTTTATCCTCCACATCTCAGAATTCAGCAGTCATTCACCATTTAAGGAATATTCTGCTCTTGTTTCTGCTTCCTGCGAAAGTGAATGATTTCACATTTTCCTACATTATACACCATGCAAGATATTTTGCCCATATTAATGTTTCGGGTTACAGAAGTTATAGGAAGGATAGAAAGGGAGGCAAAAGAAGTGAGGGAGTGGCTTTTTTTTTAATGGGGAAAATATTGCAGCTGCAATTAGAAAAGATATTTCTGAAAAAAAAAAATGTCCAGTGAAAATATATGGGTTGAAATCAGAAATAAGAAAGGAATGATCATGTGGTGGGATTGTACTATGGGTCCCTCATTAGTCGGGAGAAATTGAGGAACAAATACGTAGAGAGATCTCAGATATATGAAAGAATGAGAAAGTTGTAGGAATCGGTGATTTTAATTTTCTAAACATTGACTCGAACTGCTACAGTGTTAAAGGTTTGGATGGTGAATAATTTGTTAAATGTGTTCAAAAATATTTTCTTTATCAATAAGTCAATGTTCCTACTAAAGAGAAAGAGAAAACTTGAGCTTCTCTTTGGTAATAAGGCACAGTAAGTGACTGAAGTGCCTGTACAATAATACTTTGGGTCTGGTGATAATAATTCTGTCAGTCTTAAAACAATGATCGAAAAGAATAAGCCTTCCAGAAAAGGTAAAAGTATTTCGTTGGAGTAAGGCCAATTTTAATGGTATGCGACAAGAACTTTCAAAAGTTGAATGGAGTAGAGGGTCATCTGATAAGTGGGACGTTTTCAGAAGTGTGGTAACTAGAGTTCAGAATCATTATATTCTTGTTAGAGTGAAAGGTAAGGCTGGTAGAATTAGACAACAATGGATGAAAAGGATATTCAGCTTTTAGTCAAGAATAAAGAACTAATCATCAAT